GGTGGGGCGCACCTAACTATAAACATTCGTCTAACTAACCAACGTGACATGTCTGTTTATGAAGTAGAAATCAATAGACATCGATATTCGCTAGTGTAAACAAAATTTCTACCGCTGTTTATCGATGCTCATCACCATCCGATCGGTAACCGAGTCTTCATGGCACTCGACGCAATCATTCCACCTAAATGAGCATCCATTACCAACAGAATCCAAATATTTTAACTGCATTTAAATATAGAATTCATAGACCCTATCCTCCATGGACTGCATCAAGGCTTATTGATTGTTCATATCCAACCCTGAAAATCCTATTTCGACACTGCTCCAACTATTGGCTAATCAGAAAACCCATCATTTCCCACGTATGACAATCGATATGAGCTAGTTAATTATCTTAATTCAAAAGCCCACCATTTTGGCATGCAGCTCTCTTTTTCCAGCACTGTATTCGGCATTCGTGATGCACCCTAAGTTATAAAGCGTATTAGACATGTGCAAAGGTCAATACTTTGCCCATAACTACCCCATTTAATGTGAAATGGCATGTAACTTAGACTAGCTGAGCACGGTCTGGTAAGACGCACATTTCGAATTGACTGAATTCTATTGATCTCTGAAATATTTAAAATGACAATAACAGTCTCAACAAAATCATTTACCTTGTGGGAACAAGATACAAATGAGTCAAAGTTGAATGATAAAAAACATTAAGTCAAAAGTAGTGGACAACAATCTTTGAATATCGTGAATATAATCTCTCTCGAAGATCCAGAGATCAAATTACGAAAACTCTTTTATATCAAATGGCAGGCTTTATGATAGTTATCATTAGCCCTTTAGTTGACCTCCAGGCTTTATGATAGTTATCATTAGCCCTTTAGTTGACTTCTGGCTTCACAGAAGGTAGGAACATCAAAGTTACAAAAAGTGAAGATGGGGAACAGAAGAGTAATTCACAGATGCAAAAGAGACGGACAGACACAATGGTATAGAAAAAGGTAAGGTGAGTACTGTAAAAGCGGTGGAATATGACATAGAGTCGGGTCATGATAATTTGAAGTCACAAGTCAACTGCCGGTTTATAGACTCTTTTGCCATATGAGTATACGTTGACCAGGGTGCCCCACGTGGAGGTAAATCCATCGCACAACCCAATTACGAAATTTGCACTTCGGAAATTATAATCTGATATATTCTCCCTAAAAGTGGGCAAGTCAATGCTCCCAGGAGACAAATAAAGTTAGACATCTGACATTATATGATAGTCTACCCGATACTCCTCTCATCCTTTTATTATCTGACAACTTTACTTATTCGCTTGCCCAAGAAAAGTCTTCTGTCTTGTCATTAATGAAAATGGTACATTACAAACCAAGCGGTGATGGAAAGCTCTGTGTTACTCAGTTGTGGAGTTGAATAAAACTATTAATGATACACCCATAGTGACTCCAAATCAAAATACCCCCCCCCCTCCCCCCATTAGCCGCGTTTAGGAGCAAACAACATCAATTTTTGCTGAAATTATCGTCCACTTTACCTAAAGACACTTCCACAATGCACTGAGATAACTTACTGGTTTCGCAAACAGTGAGAATTCTATCATGTTTGAATTAGAGGTCGAATGTAATTGAATACTGATACTGATGAACGAATGAGGAAGGAGAGTTTCCAAAAATATATAATAAAGTAATTTGAGCCTTTCATTAGAAAATTATTTGCTTCACTCACCTATGCTCACACTGATATTCATGTGTGAGTTATATTGAACACCGTCGAGGAAAATTATGAAGCAGACATAGGAGAGAATGTATTGCAGAGCGCAGAATAGGAGGATATATCGCAGCCAATGATGCAGAACTCCGTAAGTGACCCTAGCCAAACTGACAATAAAGAAGGAACCGACGAATACAATCGCAGAACAGTAGTCCAGTTTCTGTAACAACAACAACAAGCAGGTGAGCATCTATTAAGGTAAACAAAAATAATAAGGGGTGATGGCAAAGAATGAGCTCCGGAAAACCCTATGAAAAAAAACGGATATGAATTCAGCTGTGTTTTCTAGTGAGAGAAAATTTCCAATCGATTTTTTTATAAAGCAGTGATTCCAGCTGTTTTGATTCAGACAAATTTACTGATCAATAATTCCCATATATGGAGCTATTTACCAGCAAACAAACTACAACAATAATCGATAAATCAACACAATGATCAATTTCAATCGACTTTATCACGAATAGTAAGCTTATCAGAAATAATTAAACGGGACGACCAATTACAGCCTAAAATTAAAAAGACGAACAAACCTCAGTGAATCTTGTATCGGAGATATGAAAGAGCGTTGACCAGACCCAGGTATTGATACCAGCCTAAAAAAGCAAAACGATTCTAAGATTAGAGGAATTATCAATTCACGCTACCCTAAACATCTTTTTGATTGTCTCAATTTTACCACATTTAGGGGATTTTTTGTCAACCAATTCTCACAATTAGAGAAATATAATTTTACCACCTTGGGCAATAATAAATCTCGTTATCAATGACATTACTTGTGATTCTGGCGTAATTTGAAACGCAATATCTAACTATTTTACGTATTTGCATACATTAACGATTTCCCTAAAAGGATAACCAAAAATTTCTTAGCATATTTGATATTAGAGGGTTTTGAAGCGAAACCATTTTAGTTTATTGCGTCTATTTAAGCTATTACCAAACTGGATTCGCCCCTTCTCGATAACTAACCAAACCTCGGTCACAAAACTGGCGGTTCAAATTTGCGATTCTCGCATTCCCCCCATTATTCGTCTACTCTTTCTTTAGTGTGCGCCTGTTCTTATACTTTCTCAAATTATCTTGGCTTTCGATTATTTTGTCTAATAAATCTTGCTTTACTCGTGATTCAATCCTCAGAAAAGATGCGCTTTGGTTGTCTACGCATGACCGATTTCTCAAGCTTCTACAGCATTCCAACTGGTATGATTCATGTATTATTTTATAGCCAACCCATAACATCAGCTAAAATGTGCTTATTCGAAGTGATAGACAAAATTTTGAGTGAATTGAAAGTGCCTAAGATTTAATCACTATAACCTAAGTAAGGGGACAAAACTTTGATTTAGGTAACGTTGTTGTAAACACATTTGAACGATGCCCCGATGTCTAAACACATCAAAAAGAGAAGATGGTGAAGGCCATTTTCCCTAGAAATTAGAATGAAGCTATTACTTTTTTTGCTTCTTCCGAACATGATGGAATGAAATTATCAATTATGCGTGGAGTTAGATTAAGTCTACCTATGAAGATACTCGAGAATAGAAACGTTCGAATTATAAGGGCATTAGTGCAATAAAATTGCAGGAAATCAGTTTCCGTCTTAAAAAATTCAAGGGTAAAGGCGACCTCACTAGTCGAAAGCAATCTAATTAATCGTCAACAACCTCTTCATTGTATGAAAATTGACACATATTGACTGACCTCAATAAAGACCAACCACTAATTAATATTTTTGCAGCTAATAAACCCAAAAAATAACCAATCATCTTCTGACTTTGGCTGATCGTTCAGTTATTTGGAAATGGGTGCTTAACCCTCCCAGGATTTACATATAGCAGCTTAATTCATTAAATATCCAAGAGGGAAGGCACTGATATATATATCAACCAGCAATCAATTGTGAACCCAAACCAAACACTCCAAAAAGGACACTACAATACCCCGCATTCAAATTTCCCTCTTGAGAAGAAGACAGGAAATTGAATAACTCCAGCGCAATAAAAACTGGCGAATCTGAGAAGTGCAAGAAACAGAATTTTCAACGTATTGATTGATCAATGCACTGCCAAAAGATCTCTAATTTACCAAAAATGAATATTTTTTGTCCATGGTATGGTCATTAAAATCATAAAAATTTACAAGATCAAAGGATAGGCAGTCAAGGTCCTACAACTTTTGAAAAGTCTCAAATATTTATTAACAAATGGCAGACACAAAGGCAGAAAAAAGGTGAGGTGAGTACGGTTGAAGTAGCCGAATTTGACATACAGTGGGGTGATGGTAGTTTGAAGAGAGAAGTCAACTGCCAGTCAATAGACTTTTTTGCCGTATGAGAATACGTTGCCCAGGGTGCACCAAGTGGAGGTAAGTCTATCGCACACCCCAAGTCTCAAATATATTATTATGCATTGCATGTTTTCAGTCAAGCCAAATCGTTTTAACCGACAAAGTCACTCAATATAGTAGGCATCGATAAACTAAAATAGGGCAATTTCTAAGATTATACCACTCAATTTTCAAAATAGTCTGTGTATCAGTATGTATAAAAAATACTACTTACCAACCCGTAGAGCAGCCAGAACATATAGAGTGGTGAAGAAGGGCGAACAGAGATAAGAAATTTGCGAAGCATCTTCAAAAGGAAGACGAGATTGATCAGGGAAAAGATAGCGGAAGCCGGTTCCTGAACACCAAATATGCGAATTTGGGGCCACTGAAGTAAAAATCAAGCAATGCGTAGCAGTTCAATGTAAACCTACTAACTATTGGTGTTACTGTGAGACCACTTAAATAAACGCCACTTCTAATCGATGCACAAATGGGTAGCATTTAGCCACAAGTGTTGTAAAACTGATAAAAATACAGAAAGTAGCCTAAAATGAAAAGTGGCATACTTACTTTTCCAAAAAATTGATGGATATTAAGGCCATTTTGACGAAATGCATCAACAGTCTTCCACATACAATGGTATTTACACTCGGCTTCACAATTCCATTTGACAGCAGATTCAATAAGACTGAGTTTGTAGGGTTCGAAAGGCTTTGATTCTGATTCAATATAAGGCCTAACATACGTTAAATTGCATTGGGATAAATAACAAGGATAAAGGCACTGCCGAAATACAGGGCTGTTATCGCCCGCTGATGAAAGACCGCGTTGAAAAAATGTCGCGATAACTAGTAGAACTGCTCCCAAGGAACAATTTCGATTAACTGCCAACTATTGGAGAGAAGAGCAAGATATGTAGTAATTTTAATGTTAATATCTAAATAAGTTTGATTAAGGCGTCATCTAACACATATCAGGTATCAAAGAACAGTTAAGATACTAAAGAGATTACTCAAGGAGTAAATTTATAATCAGAGAGCATTTACCATCAAAAAAGCGTCTTATTACGTAATGATGCAAGCCTTCCGGCTGCAAATCAAAACGAAACTAGGCTAAGCTAGCAGCCACTCTCCGTGATACACAACACCCAATCACACGCTTCAAACTCTCTGACCTACCTTTGGCAACGTAGCTCCCCGACTTGTTATCTTTACACATGCCCAACGAAATATGTGTTATGGCCATCCCCATGTCCCCACATGTCCTACGGTTACCCAATGAATATATGACCTTCACTCGACCATATAAGCAACATATGGGCTTTGTCCGTAACCGAAACAAATCCATGTTAGTCTCCATTAACTGATGTGCAACCACTCATCTAATAATCACAGCGTTTTTTAAATATTTACTTGTAATGCTTCGATTTGCTTTCCTTCTTTATTTGTGAATATGTCATACAAACTTCCTTAAGGTGGTTGTTTGATTAGAAATGCTTCAGCGTTATATTCATTCAGGGAAGATCCATCGTTACCTGCTTTGACCTCTAACATTTTCCTCTTTATTGTTTTAACTATCATTAAATATTCGTTAAGTCCGCTGAAGCTTATCCCTTTTTTCCTATTTGGCATATTTTGTTGTTGATGACTTCGCTTTTACAGAATTGTTTTTCCACATGACAAAATTCATATTTAGAGCCCCAACTATTTGTCAAATCAGTTTATTCCAGCTTCAAATTCTTATCCACTGTTTATATATGGTAACCTGGGTTGATGAATAGCTGTTTGTAATGCTTATGAATGTTCCTTTTCACAAATAACAGCAACATTCCTTGCTCATATTAATTGCTACAATAGTTTTCGATTACCATGACTATTTATCAAAAAATACCTTAAACGAAAGCAGACATTGATATTTGTAAACCGTAACCTATGATATCGACGTTATCAACTAATAAATGAAGCACAATCAGAACATTATTTAACCGACATTTGCTCTCATTCAAAACAAATTTTTGATGCTATTACTTCACTCATCCGTTGTGTTAAATTAATTGGAATTGTAATGTAGGGAACGTGTAATGAAATAACTGATTTCTTCAGAATATATTTCCTCATAAACTCTTCGTACCTCGGGGACCTATATCGGTAAGAAAGTAATGCAGGTTGGAAATAGTCTCTCTCACACTTAAGAAACGATTTCGTGGACGTTATTTTTATGATCCAATGCCTTTTATGGTTTATGTCCATGTAGCATCCACGACTAAAAAAATTTAACACTGTTTCTACATGTTGTGACCCAATCTATCATGAATATGCATTTCATGCGGAGTTTCACTAGTGAGTTCATGGAGTGACCTAATATGGCCACATGTACTCTCACATACATATTCAATTTACTGTATGGCCTGTACTCCACGTAGGATAACTTTCCACACCAGCCAGGGTGTTTATTTCCTCCCAAGAGCCATATTATCCACCTAGAGTACCAAAAAATAAAATGATTCACAATAAATTTACCTAAACTGCATTACATTTCTTGCACTTATTTCTCAATATTTTGGTAGATTACGTTCAATGCAATGTTATTCACCTTCCGCCTTATTGTTTAGGGGTGAAAATTGATAGGCTAAAACTGGAATAAATTTAGTATAACCTCCAAAATATGAAAGCATATATATTTCTCAATCATCCCTACGGTTTGCATTGGTTTAACTCGGTGATGCAATTAGAGGGATAATTAGGCGCCAATAAATACCTTACTAGTCGGTCCATTTTAACTTCTTTTCGAACTGCACTAAACATGCGTGTAAAATGGAACGACAATAGCACTTAAACTATCTGCATGTATTTCATCACATTGATGCGTAACTGATGAATCTCCAGGCAAGAGGACCTGGTTTTACACTAAAAAAGCCCTTTCCTATTATAGTACATCACACACTTTAGTGCACCAAAGTTCACATTGAGGAATGATTAAAATCAAGTCCACAAAAGGGAAGTCATTGTGTATCTGAAATATCACAGCCAACCACCACCGCCACGAATACCATCATCATCATCATCATCAGCCCATCATATGGCGCTTGGGAGCATCCGCGATTTCACTAAAGTACCGTTGGAGATCGTCAATCGTGAAATCTAATGAAAGACCTGAATCTGCATAGCACTTTCGGATCAACTCCTCATAGAACATGCATTGTTTTGTAACCTCCGATTGAATTGATCGCCATACAACCTAGAAAAACAAGAGGATAATAATAAAAGTGTCAGGAAACTTACAAGGAAAAGGCTGCCTTCATCAGAGAGGTTCTTTTCAACCTTTCTCCGTAGAGCCTCCAAGCCCTTTTTGACCTGAATGAAATGAAGTGCAAAAAAATGCGTCAAATAAGAGCCGAATTGGATATTTCACAAATGGGATATAGCAACCAACCTCTTTTCCGGGATATTCCTTGATGATCTTTTGTAGCATATGCTTTTGAAATGCCATTTGGTAGCAGATAGCATCTGGACGCACACCAGAATCCAGAGCGCTTTGAACTTGTTCAAAGAAGTTCTAAAAGACAAGGAAATGAATCTTTGGCTTATTTACATAAAAAATGTCAAATAGCCTAGGTTATAGTCAAAGAGATTTCAAGGAGAAATAAATGAATGATTACTATGATTTTTTACATAAGTGATTGGCGATGCTCCTTTATTAATTTATTCGCTTCTCAAGCCCAAGATAACAAGTCGTGATTCATTGCAGATCAATTCTAAAAGTCATAATTATTGAGAAAGGTTAAGAGGGCAGTAATAACTTCGTCACGTCCGAAAGTCCCAATTTTCATCACTCATGCCAGTGGACTTCTGGTTATTAAACTCCCACGAACGAACTTGGATACGTAAGATGGCCTGCAGAGAAGTTGCCAGCGAAATTAATTGTCACCTATTGCAAGCCTCTATTAGTGACCTTAGATTGGGAACATAAGAGGAGGCTTGCAATCTGTGCCTTTACGAGCAGTCAGCTTAGTGCGAGCCATTTCAAGAACAACGAATTGCCAAATTGGGGGGGGGGGGGGGGGGGGGGGGGGGCAATAGACTTA